TTATTTATTTGAGACAGAGAGAGAGAGAGCAGGGGAAAGAGCAGAAGGAGAGGGAGATAATCTCCAGCAGACTTCCCACTGAGCATGGAGCCCAACTCAGGGCTGGATCCCATGACCCTGAGACATGGCCTGAGCTGATCCCTCCATTTGTTCCTAGATATTTGTACTCCACATGAATCCTCTCGCTTACTTTTCTAGTCACACTAACTGCTCTAAGTAAGGGTAGAGGTTATGGCTTAAGTAAGTAAGTAAGTAAGTAAGGTTATGGTTTAGGTACGGTTATGGGTTCAGGTATAATCTTTACCCTTAGCCCACAGTGAAGTGGCCCAAAGTTGCCTTCACCTGGATTAGAAAATGCCTTCCCTTCCTGATGTCTTACTGTCATCATCCAGAAAACTGTGGTAATAACTATTCAATCACTCTTCAATATTCTACAGTACATTCCTGGATTGTGTGGTGTGCAAGCTCCAAAATGATCACTGAACAGCTCTATTTTCCATTCCTCTCCTGAGTCCAAACTTCTACATCAAAACTGCATACTGGCTATCTCCAGCTGGATGTTTTTCAGATAGGACCAATATAAAAGACCCATTGTTTAACTTATCATCACCTTTTTTGAAATCCTCCTTATTTATGCATTTCTTTTCTTAGTGAATGAGACTCTCATTCACTTGGGTGCATAACTTAGAAACCTGGAACCTCATCCTAGACTACTTCTCTCATTCTTCCTCTCTATCTCCATCTCTCTCAATTCACATCTGATAGGTTACCAAGTCCTGCGGTTTCCACCCATATTCCTCAAATCCATGACTGATCTCTTTTCAATCCCCAATGTTGCTGTCCTGACCATCTCTTCCACAGACTAAAAATAACTTCCTCTTTGGTCTTCCTACTTTTTGCCTTGCCTCCCTTCTATTAGACACACTGGGGTCAGAGAAATTATTTAACATGCAAATCAGTTCTCTACCATGACAAAAATGCTTCAATGTCCACACTGTCAACAGGCTAAAATCTAAACTTCTAAGCATGACTTAAAAAGCTATTTATTATCCAGAGGTGCCTAGGTGGCTCAGGCTGTTGCGTGTCTGCCTTAGACTCCGGTCGTGATTCCAGTGTCCTGGGATCAAGCCCACATCAGGCTTCCTGCTCAGCGGGGAGCCTGTTTATCCCTCTCCCACTCCCCCTGTTTGTGTTCCCTCTCTATGTCTCTATCTGTCAAATAAATACATAAAATCTTTAAAAAAAAAGCTATTTATTATCCAATATCTACTTAATGGTCTGCCTCATTTTCTGACATTCTCTAGAAGCACCCCATGCTTCAGCTATATGGATCTACTTTCAAATCCCCAACATGCCAAGCTCTCTAATAATTCAGTGCCTTTGCACCTGCTACCCTTCTGCTTGGAATTCCTTGTCAGTCTTGTTGGCCTGACCAACTCCGACTTCAATTTCAGGCCTCAGCTCTAGGGTTGTTTTCCTTTTTTAAAACTGTGCAGGCAGACGAACGCTTCAGGCAGATGAACACTTGAGTTCCTTATTGATATGTTAACCACCTGCACCATAGCAATTTTAACATTTTAATTATTTGTTTTTATCAATTAGTGTTTCCAAACTAAGCTGTAAGCTTCTTGAGGGTAGGGACCATGATTAATCTCATCTTCGCTTCCCCAGCACTTAACACAGTGACTGGTATTGAATATTTTTAATAGGCACTTGAATGAATGCAAAAATAAATTCGTTAACTAGTGAGAATAATGTGCAGGCTAGGGTTTAACTGTAAGCTATAGGTTTTCACTTAAGTACATTTAAAAAAATTGGAAAAAATATAGAATATATTAATGGAAACTTAAGAACAGAAAAGTAATCTCATATTATTTTACCATCCTTTTTTTAATTTTTAAAGATTTTTATTTATTTCTTTGACAGAAAGAGACAGCGAGAGAGGGAACGCAAGCAGGGGGAGTGGGAGAGGGAGAAGCAGGCTTCCCGCGGAGCAGGGAGCCTGATGCGGGCTGGATCCCAGGACCCTGGGATCATGACCCTAGCAGAAGGCAGACGCCCGATGACTGAGCCACCCAGGCGCCCCTTATTTTACCATTCTAATGCCTGTTTCAACACACTTATTATTTACTTTTGATCTTTGCTCAAATATGTGGTAAATAAAAAAAATATATGTATATATTTATATTTTATGTAGCTAAACTAAAATGTACATGCACTTTCTTATGGTTTTAAGTTTAACTGTAAACATTTTCCAACACTGTGGCAAAGTCATCTAAACTATCATTTTTAACAATGTATAATACTTCATTCCCCTACTTAGGTTGACAGCCTAAAGAGGTCAGGCTGTACTCCGTTTCCTATTATAAATAGGAACGGATCCAGGTTTTGTGGGACTTGAAATTTATACAATTTTGAGAGATGTTTTCAGAAAAGAATAGAAAATTATCTTACTTTTGCAAACCATGAACCCATTCTTAGGGCTCCTCCCAGGGTTTGGAAGGGGCCTGTGAAAGTGAGGCATTCTGAAGGTTAATTTTCATCAGTTTCACATGATCTAACTCCAATTATAAATAATCCTGCAGTAAGCATTTTGAGCATGTGATTTTTTCCCTCTCTCTTCATTATTTTCCAAGGATTCCAAGTTATTATGACACCGTTCACCTTGAAGAAGTTGAGAAAGGAAATGATCATTTATTGAGCACCTATTATATATTGAGCACTTTATATATATTATTTAACTTAATCCTTACTATAAGCCTGAAGGAGGTATGCTCCCCACTTTACAGATGAGGAAACTGAGGTGCAGTGTATGTAAATATCATGTCCAAAGTCACACATCTTGTAAGTGGTGGGGTTTGGATCCTGTTTCAGTCCAAAGCTCATGCCTTCTCTTTTCCACTACCTTGTGGTGTCTCCACAACCTCGCTAGCTTCACAGTAATATTTTCTAGGCTGCTGCTGAAAAACCTGGTTCTCAGTTATCTGTTTTGAGGAGGCCAGAAGACAAAATTTGCAGTCTTTTTTTTTTTATGATTTTATTTATTTATTTGAGAGAGAGAGACAGATAGTGAGAGAGAGCATGAGTAGGGAGGAGAGGGAGAAGCAGACTCGCGCGGGGCAGGGAGCCCGACGTGGGATTCAATCCCAGGACTCTTGAGATCATGACTTGAGCCAAAGGCAGACGCTTAACTGACTGAGCCACCCAGGTGTCCCAAAACTTGCAGTCTTGACAGGGTTCTTGGAAGAAGGTGGTTTAAATCAGTGATGGCTAGACTTTCTCAGGTGAATTTAGGAAAAAGTGATTTGACTATTTCTGCCCTCTGTCTGCTAACAGACATGTATCACCTTGGTTCAGCACGCATTTCTTGGAAGAAGCATTATCTGAAGTTGAAAGACCTGGGCTGGGTTCGAATCCTGCTATTCACTACTTGAGTGGCCTTGGTAAGTCATTGAACTCATCATTTTCCTCCCATGTGCAATGAGGATAAGTAACAAAATCTGCCTCACTCCAGGCTAGCTTTGAGTGTCCAATGGGATGATGTATGTGCAAACACCTAGTGAACTCCAATGTTAACTGACGTACAGTAGTGACCCCTTATCTGAGGTTTTGTTTTCCGCGGTTTCATTTACTGGCGGTCAACCACAGTTGGGAAGTAGATGATTCTGACTGTTGTCAAAAGATCAATAGTAGCCTAAGGCTATGTCACAGTACGGCATCATTTCACCTCACCTCATCTCTCATGGAGACATTTTATCATTTCACATCATCACAAGAAGTGGGAGTACAGTACAATAAGATAGTTTGAGAGACCACACACATAACTTCTATTATAGCATATTGTTGTAATTGTTCTATTTTATTGTTAGTTATTGTTGTTAACCTCTTACTGTGCCTAATTTATAAATTAAACTTTATCTTCGGTATGTATGTCTAGGTAAAAACAGTATATACAGGGTTGGGTACTATCCATGGTTTCAGGCATCCACTGGGAGTCTTGGAGGCATCCCCTTATTGATGAGGGGGGACTGCTGCATCAGTAACATTGTGGGAGTTGCTCCATTATCCCCGCCCATCTGCCTCCAGGTAAGTGCCTGTGACAGCTGGACAGAATGCACCTGATGGCTCCATTACGGTTAACTCCGGTTAACTCCGGCTGGAGTTCCTTCCTAGGCTGAAGCTGCCACTTCTTTCTACGGGGGGTGTCTGGGCTGTTACACCTGGAAGCCCAGTGCATCAAGGGCAGCAGAAGCTGTGCAAAACCAGTCTGAGATTCTGGTGAATCTTTTCCTCCTCAAGCTGCGAGCTGATGAAAAATGCCAAACACTTACCTATAATCGCAACTTGTAAAATCCCAAACACGGTCCTCACCAATTGTCCCTTTGCTCTGTCTTAGGTGCTGACGCATTGATCTTGGAATTTTACCTGCCAGTTTAGAAATCTGTAGTCCTTGTTGGACCTAATTCTGGGGACAGTCTGTAATTCTGCAAAGCCAGGAGAAAAGAAAAAGCTCTGCTTTGAGTCAGCGTTTGAACATCCTTCACCATACCCCGTTTAAAGCTGGTGTAAGCAGCATTCGTCTTTATTTTCCCTAGAAGAAAAAAGCTTAAGCCCATTTCCGAGCCCGAAGATTGAGCTCATCGCCCCGCGTCGGGACCGGCGCGGCACTCCGAGCACGGCCTGCCGCTCCGCCGGCCGCCCGCCGCCCCCCACACCCCCGGCCCAGGTGTCAGCCAGCGGGTGCCCGGACCTCCACCTGGCTCGGCCGGCGGCGACCGCACAAAGAGCGGAGCAGGCGGCGGCCCGGCCGAGCCGCAGAAAGTAGTCCCGACCACGCCGGGCTGATGTTGTTCGACGTCGCTTCACGCCCTCCGCGGGGAGGGCCGCAGTGGCCGGCCCAGGAAAGAATCCCATAGGAATGCGCCGGCGGGAGACCTTTTCCCTCCAGCTCGCCTCCGCTTGCCTGGCGGATCTCCCGGGGTCTCCAAGCAGAGGCCGTGCGCGCGGTCCCCCACTTTCTTTCGTAGCTGCACGGGAGGCGGCGCCGAGGGAGGGGCTCGCCCGCGCGCAGGAAGACCTTCGCGGCGACCCGTGGCGGCGGCGGGCCCGTGGTATCCCTGCGCCGCTGCGTGAGAGGAAGAGGCTGAATGAGGAGCTGCGCGGGGGAAGCGGGGCGCCGGGGGAGGAGGCGGCGGGATGGAAGCAGACGCTGGCGTCGCGCGAGCCCCGGGCAGCGCGGCGCGGTAGAGAGGGCGGCGGCGGCGGCGCGCGCGGAGCCCTGACGTGCCCCTTTCTTTCTTCTCTCTCTGGAAAGCTGGGAAGCATGAGCGTGCAGACCTGCCGCTGCGGCGGCCGCCCCGGCTCCTCGCCTCCCCCTCTTCTGGCCGCCCCTCGCCGGTGAGAGAAGAGAACGCGAGAAGGGAAGATGGGGGCCGTCCTGAGGAGCCTCCTGGCCTGCAGTTTCTGTGCGCTCCTGAGAGGTGGGAAGGGGGGTGCGAAAGTTGGTGGGATTTGGGGGGGAGGTGGCCTTGTTTTGTGTGACTGGGGGGAGGGGGAGGGAGGGAGGAGAAGGGGAAGAGGAGCCGGGAGAGGCCTGGTCGTGGGGAAGGAGAGAGAAAGGGGCCCGGGAGAAGGGGCTCTGCGCTCCGCCTGGCCACAATGCAGACCCCTTCCCCGGGTTCCGGCCCTTGCCTGGACAGATCGGAGCCTCAGTCCGGGCTGCTTGTCTAGGTGAATCCCTGGAGCCCCATTCTGTCGCAATGACTGAGGGTCTGTGTGTCTCTTTCTGCCAGGAGTCATCTGGGAGAAGGGTCTTTGTATGTATTTGGGCTTTTAAAATGTTTGAGCCCAAGATGCTTTAACGTCGGTCTCCTCTCTCGAAGCCCCCACCTTTTCCGTGTCTCTTACGTGAACTTTTCGAGCCTTCTTACTATTTTTCCAGGCCTTGTTCCTACTAATGATTGGCTTCCGTTGGGGATATAATGATCCTGGGTGAGAGCACAGTTGGAAAGTGACTCCCAGGTTATAGGTCGAGCGTTTCAGCATTGGGATTCTTCCGAGCTTCAGCCCATGATAAAATGGAAACGTTGCCCTCGTAACCCTTGGTATTCAGGACTTGCCCCTATTTTCAGAGCATGCAAGTGTACAGTTGACACTAAGTAGGAAAGTCATCCTTGTGTGAAGAGGAGCCCGTCCTGGGACCTAAGTTATCATTTGCTGCGCTCCCCTGGGGACTGCTTGCACTTTGGTAAATAACATAGGCTATCCTAGATAATTTGTTCGGAGACTCGCATACATTCGATGGCCCTGTAGTTTTTTGAATTGGCCTGTAAAGCTGTCACATACGCTGTGACTTTTATTTTGTGACCGTTCACTAAGGTTTTTGATTGGCCCGCAAGATTTCAACAGCTCTTCTCAAACTTATCAGTGTTGAAGTGGTGATGAGTTTGGTGCTATTGAGCATTTACCAGCCGAGGAATTTAAGTACGGATCGATGCAATAGCTCTGGCTTTGGTTTTGTTAAAGTTCTCATTTGTGTTCATGGTAAATTCTTTTCAGGTATAAGACCTCTTGAGTCTATGGAGATTTTTTGCTCTTAATTTAACAAGCTAAACTTTTGTTAAGCCTCCAACACTTGCTAAAGTTTACAGGGCACGATAGTAACTCATGATCTTGCACAAATGAGCCCAATATGACATTTCTGTGTGTGTATATTTATTTTGGATGAATGCGATTGACTTTTTTTTTTTTTTGGAGGAGGAATTTTTTTCCTTTGGTTACTCTTCTGAAGGATTATTACGTTTGCATGTTATATCTACTTATACTTAATAATTATGACTCACTGTAAGCATATTCCAAAGCATTTTCACATGTAACCCCTTAAAGATAGTGCTCACCTAATTTTCTTGGCAGAGAATTTAATGCAGTGTTGTGTCTTTGAGAGGTTTAATAAGTGTATTTTTATTTCATTATAGTATACTCTTTGTTGAAAGGGGATTTTACTATAGCTGTGAGAAACGTATTTGACATAAGAATATGTACATTTTTAAAGACAGAAAGTAGAGTTAAATATGAGAGTCAGGTGATTGGTTAAAGTCTTGGGGAAATCGAAGTCCATAACCTGGGATACTTCTGGTTGCCCGGTTGTATTTCTTGGAGGGTAAGAGTGTGATGTAAATGCCATTTGTTTATTTTAACACCAAATTTGAACCTAGAGTTGGGTTTGTTTCCTGGAGTTTAGAAAAGTTGCACTTGAAGTATTAATTTGAGGTATGGTGTTATGTAACAAGACCTAAAAGACTTAATATTTTAAACTCCCTCATTTCTAAGGGATGAAGGAGTCAGTAGTTTAAACTCCCTCATTTTCTTAGCAAAGTTTGCATAAGTAGACCTCTCATTTTAAATGTAGCATGTTAATGGTATAAGGTGGTCTTTGAATTTAACAGTACTTGACTGTGAGTACATATTATTTGAACCAGAATGGTATTTTGATGTGAAAGATTTTATTCATATTTTAGATTCATTCCTCGATAGTGTCATTCTCTGTTACAATAGTGGCATTAGTTAACCTTGGACTCTGAGGAGAAAAATATGATTACTTTGTTGCATTGAAATAATTTTTTTTTCACAGAGGAGTTGTTAACATTGAGAAGTTAACATTGGGATGATGGGATGATGAGAGGGTTTGGGAGACCTTTTGTTCTGTAGTGCTGTTAAATCAGTATCTGAAGGCCAAGGAATAATGCTGTCATCATCTGGGCTGCATCCCTGTCCCTACCATGGGAGGACAAAGTGTAATGGAAAGATTTGGAGATTTCGACACTAAAATCTTGGGTTCAAAGTCTGTGCTTCTCTACTTAATAACTTTGTGATTCTGGTCTAGTCAATTTCTCTGGGCCTCAGTTTCTTTACCTGTAAAATGTAGGTAGTAATACTGATCTGATTTGCATGTTTAATGGGCATATTAAATGAAATGATGAGTATCAATGATTTGCTAACGTTATTTTTGTTATAATTTTTTATTGTGGACATATCCTCAAATGCTAAGAATTTGAGATTTAATTTGTATGAGGTTTACAAATTCTTACAGATAGAAGAGATCTTGATCATTCTGTTCTAACAGCTTCATTTGCAAGTGGGGATACTCAGATTCAGAGAGATTACGATTTGATCAAGCTCCTACAGCTAATTAATGGTAGAGGGATACTAGGGATTTATTAATGGTAGGGATTTATTGTTCATTCTTTTAGCAAATATGTTTGGAATACCTCCTGTATATCAGGCTCTTATGTCTCTGATTTTCTAGAGGAAATATTTTTATAAGAATAAATTTTGGAGTACCATTATGTGTATAATCTGCACATACTTTGGGCTTGAGGAGGTTTTGTTGTTTATAAACATTTTCTGCTACTTAGTTTTTAAAAAAGTATATTAGTTTTGGTGGGATGGTGGAAAATACTGTACAGACAAGCCACTAGTGTTTTCCATCTTATAGAAGCGGTCCTTGGAAAAGCTTTTTCTTTAATATCAAATATAAAATCTCGAGGAGGTAGAATGAATTTTGGAGTGGGAATCAGGAGAATTAGATTCTAAATTTGCCATTAGTTATCTGTGTTGTAACCTTGGATAAGTCCCTTAATCTCTGTACACCTTATTTGCGTGAGGATGATGAATCCTTCTTTCGGAGATGCGTAATTCACATTAACATGTTAAGGGCTCTGAGAGAATGTGAAGTAGAGAGACCAATTTTAATTTTATCTAACCCGGGGTTTTCCAAACTTGATATTTTTTCCATAAATCCTTTTAAATTTCTGCTGAACCTTTGATCCAAGCAACACACTTGGAGAGAGCTGGACTGGATGGCCCTTTGAGCATGAGGTTGATTAGTGTGATTGATATTTGATGATAATTTCATGTACTTGAATTTGATACTTTCATTCCTACTTACTTATTTGGCTTTGGTTTCCTCATCTGGCTAGGGAAAAATTTGATTGGTTATGTGTAAGGTTATAGCTCATTGTTATCATGAGGCCTAACAGTGATTTCCCATGGTTTGGTTTCTCAGAGACTTTTTTGTTTTGCTATAATTGGAGATTTTTCCATTTGCTAAACTGAAGTATTCTTCCATACAGTTATATGTGCTTTGGCTATCAGAAAGGACTGTCTTTTTTGAATATCAAAGAAGACTGTGTGGAGGGTATATAAATGGAGAATATTTTATGTGAACTTAAAATTTAAACATATTGGAAAAACACAGTAACCTGTTTAGGTCATGGGTAAATATTCTTGAGAAAATTCAATCTCATCATGGAAGTTTCATTGCAAGTTTATATTCAAAGAAGATTATAAAGTGGGGCACTATACCAGGAAGGTATGGGCTTTGTTGATAAACCAAGTTCAGATCTTCTACTACTTTATATAGCCTTGGACAAGTTACTTAGCTTTAGTGTCCTCTTCTGTTAAATAGGGATAATACCTTACAAGATTTTTATGAGAACTGATGGGATAATATTTGCAAAGGGAGAGTATAGTGCATAGTCAATAGTAGACTTTGAATAAATTGTTGCTAATATTAAGATGGCTAAGTTAAAAGAAATATTAATGCTCAGGAAAGACTAGTAAAACATTTAAGTGTCAGGCACTGTTACAGGGAGTCAATAGTTTTAGGCCAGTGGTCTTTGAACTTTTTTTTGACTCTTCTGCAACCAAAGCAGAAGTTCCATGAAATACTTTCACTTCTGATATTTTTTTTTTTTAAGTTTTTATTTATTTTTTTAAGTAATCTTTACCTCCAACGTGGGACTCAAATTCATGACCCTAAGATCGAGTCACATGCTCCATCATCTGAACCAGCTAGTCATCCCACTTCTGATATTTTCTATTTTATATAACTAAAATGGCCACTATATTAATTTTACCTTAAAGAAATGCAGCTTTAACACTGTTTTAGGTATTATAAATAAACTAGAAGATAAATAGTGCAGCTGATTGTGATACTTACTTACTTATTTAAGAGTTAAGTATAGGCAAAATAATTTTATCAAAACATTGTTTAATTGATAAAATTTTTATTGTATTATTTCGTTACAACAGTTAAAATTATTCAATTGATAGACTTCTCCCTGCAGGATGGGTAAATGCTATACTGAGTTCCTGCATTGCATGTTTAACTCTTTGTATGAGAGTTTTTATATATGTTCTGTAAAATGAGCCTCATCTTAATACTAGAACACCTCCACTTGAATAACTTTGAAATTTAGTCAAATACGTAGACCAGGCAACCTAAGAATAGAATATTAGCCCTTGAAATTACTAATTTAAAATATAATTCATCATAAATACAAGGAAAATAATGTTATTTGGTATTATTAACACATGCTTGGTTTCTCAAACTTGTGTTATTTGTGGCAGTGACTATCCTCACAAATAGTTCAAGACATTCAGATGTGAGACAGGAAAATATTAAAATGTGCCTTCGCTC